TGCCATTTAAGTGAAAAGTCGCAGAAGCGGGACTGCAGATGTGGTCCCATGACCGCAGATGCGAAAATCGCTAGGCAGAACATAAAAATAGTTGCCTTTGCGAATTTGAGGGATTCTTTCACAATTTTCATCTGAGTTTGAAGCTTTTGAGAGAGATTCTTGAGGAAAAACAAAGGGAAATTGCTTGGAGGTAACATCCTTGACTTCATAACTCGTTTTTATGTGATTAAAGACCTAATTAGCAGTGAGAAATTTGGGAAAAATGGTTAATTAGGGCTTGAGTTTAAGAGGCCTTTAAATGAGGATTTTAGGGGTCATTTGGACTCCGATTTCAGTGTTCTTGTTATGTATGGACTCGTGGGAGTACGAGGTTTCTGAAGATATAAATTTCACCCGATTCTGAGACGTGGTCCTGAGGGGCGTTTTGGTCATTTTACATAATTTCGCGTATTAGCTTAGAATTTAATTGTAGAATCAATTACTTGAAGTGCTATTTACATTATATAATTGAATTGAATAGATTTGGGTCATTTGGAGTCGAGTACTCGTGGCAAGGACGTGGTATTGGGTTGATTTTTTAGCCGGTTCGAGGTAAGTGGCTTGTCTAACCTTGTGTGGGGGACCTTCCCCTTAGGATTGGTATATTTGATAATTGAAATGTCTTGTACGTGAGGTGACGAGTGCGTAATTGTGCTAATTGTTGGAAATTCAGTTCTTTAAGTACTTACTAGTATGTTTCCTTTCCTGTTTCTATTACTTGTACTATTAAGCTCGTTGCTAGTTTAGGAAAGCATGTCAAAGTGATTTAATTTCTTTAATTGTTCAATCTATTTACCTGAACTCTGTGCAGCATGCTAGGCTAGAATTATTTGTTGCCTAACATGAAATTTCTCTTCTCTGAATATTTTCTTGATGATGCTGTGTATTTACATTGGGACTACGGATGTGGGATTCCTTCCCCCTTGTCTGTTTACTTTGGGACTGCTGGTTAGATTCCCGATAGATCCCCCTGCACATTTACTTTGGGACTGCAGGTTAGTTTGCCGATAGATCCCCCTGTACATTTACTTTGGGATTGCGGGTTAGATTCCCAATAGATCCTCCTGCACAGTTATATGGAACTACGGGAATGCACCCGGTAGATTTTCCCGGTACTGGGTATTTACATTTGGGACTACGGATCGGGATTCCGGTAGATCCCCATGCATTGATAGTTAGACTACAGTACGGTATCCCGGGAGATCCTTTGGACATATATATGATGAACTATGGGACAATATCCCGGGAGATCCACTGGACAATTGTAATTGGGACTACAGGACGGTATCTTGGAAGGTGCCCCAGTTGTTATCTCTGTGTTGAGCTGTATTTCTTTCCGTGGCTTGTGTTGTCTCTGTTCTAGTTGTTGTTGTTCTGTCAATTCTATGGTATTTCTTACTGCTGCACTTATTTATATTGTTTTATTCCACACTATTAACCCTTATATTGTATTTAACCTCAGTAGGGCCCTAACCTTCCTCGTCACTACCCAACCGAGGTTAGTCTTGGCACTTACTGAGCACCGTTGTGGTGTACTCATGCCCCTTCTGCGCATGATTTTCATGTGCAGATCCAGGTACCACTGATCAGGCCTACTACCGTTGAGGGAGGCGACTGCTTAGAGACTCCGAGGTGCATCTGCCGCGTTCGCAGACCAAGGAGTCCCTTTCTAATCCTGCCTTTAGTATTTAGCCCTTCTGTACTTTTCTATTCTTTATTAGAAATTTCAGAGTTAGAGCTATGTAGTATTTCTTTTCTTAGCTTATGATTCATGGTTTTCCGGATCTTGGGTTTATGTTTGGTGTTGAGAGTTAAGCATGGTGTATGCCAAGCGTCACATTTACACATTGTTATTGCTTTATTTCTATATTTAAATTGTTTTACTTCCGCAAGTTTGGTTATCTTCCGCAAATTTAGGCTTACCTAGTCATCGAGACTAGGTGCCGTCACGATGGTTCACGTCGTCGAGACTAGGTGCCGTCACAATGGTTCACGGAGGGCGAACCGGGGTCGTGACAAAGTGTGGGTATATATATATATATATA